CACACACACGCCCACACTGCACGCACACACACACACACACACACACACGCACCACGCACGCACGTACACACACACACACACACACACACACACACACACACACACACACACACACGCACGCACACACACACACACACACACACACACACACACACACACACACACACATGCATCTATCACTGGATGTAGGTCTACCAAGTGCGGACTATTCCAGAGATCACAGTAAGCTGCGCCTCGTTTAACTTTAAACCTTTCACCATCAGAATACTTATCCTACCAGTTCTATTATTATAGTAATGCGATTTTTGAACAGCTACAAGTTATTACACTTCTGTTATTTTAACTATGGTTTACAAAGTATCACGTGAACTCATACTATGCTAATTAATTAAACAAATGTCTATTGTACAAAGCAAAAAATTGCGTTTTTTCAGTGTTTACAGAAATTTACAAAACTGCTGAAGTGCGACAGAAACTTGAAAATTTATGTATTTAAACGAAGACACATACGCGAACCGAAACACACCACACCACACTGACCACAGGCACTCAGTAAAAGAAAAGTATATAAACACGAAATGTATTTACTACCAGTCTCAACTCTCAATGTTTTTCTACTCTCTTTCGTCTATTATTAATTGCCGATAATTTTCTGTAAATGCCGTTCAAATCGTGCTCCTCTGCAACATAAGTGTATTATATTATAAGTGTAAACGTGCAGCTGCGTGCGTGCAGTGAACGTGTGTGTTGCAGAGGAGCATTTGAACGGCATTTACAGTAAATTATTGTCAATAATAAGCGAAAGAGAGTATAGAGAAATATTGAGACTTTGGCAGTAAATACATTTCATGTTTTTTACCATAATGTTTTTTTATTGAGACGTTCCAAGTGCCTGTGCACCACACCGAGATATAGTGGTGGAAACATAGAAATAATATAGATACTATCATAGAGTTGTATTAATCCTATTATCCTAGTTATCCTATAGAGGGGTCTAATATATAACTCTATAGATACTATAGATAGTGTCTCTATATATTTCTATGGGTGGAAAACACTGATCTCTATACATATTTATAGAGATCAGTGGTGGAAAAGCAGCCACTGACCACACACACGCACGCACGCACGCACGCGTATTTACGCCGTCGCTGTTTATCTGCTCACTTGTTCGAACATGGTAGCTTCCATGGCGGCGTTCAAAATCAAATATCCGATCAAAACTTTAGTTGTGTTCAAAATTTCCCCACTCTGACCGATTGGACCAAGTTACAACATTAGAAATATGTTGGACGCACCTGAAACGGCTGATATCCAAGAACAACTGGATCAGAAGGAGAGGGAGTGGAAGCAGCTATTGGAAAAGCAAATGAAATCACTAGATACAGCCTACAAGGAGAAAAACAAACAAAACATCGAATTACAGACACGGTAATAATAAAAGATTTTTGTCATTTAATGCGTATTTCATACAACTGAACACTTGCATGTACATTCAGTTTAAAGAAATGTCATTTGGTTACTATTGTACTTGTAGATAATACTCAATAGAGGCTAGAGCCTAAATTGGCTTTCTTTTCAATTTGGGGCATAAATAGCAACATATATAGACCCTAAACCGACCAGGCTCTCCCGGTCTCCGACTGTTACACGGCGTAGAGATAAGCGAGAAGGGAACTTGTGGCTACATAGCCCCCATGCTTCACATTGAAGCTATAGCCCGAATGCTGTCTGATGTCATAGAAATTAGAACAACTGTTTCAAAAGAAGTTGAATGACTGAAACGACTGTTCTGAACAAACGAGTTTCCATACACCTAAATTTGTACTAATATTTGTTGTGAATTTTTTCACTACGTGGACAATATAAGATTTGACAAGCTCAGCGATGATTTTAAGTTCAACCTGAAAGTTGTTGAAGAGAGGGATGAAGACCTAAGCCAATACGAAGTAGCTCTGAAAGGTATGGACTTCCTTATTAAACATCAGGTTCTTTTGGACGATATAACATCATTGGTCCAATTATTAATGATATCTAGATTTTCAATTCTCGTCAATCTCAAGTTACCCAAGGAAAACACAGTCTTTTATAAGCTGTAGAAATAGATCTGTGTCTATTACAGATGCACAAGCACAAGTCACTGATCAAAAACTAGACTTGAGTGAGTGTAGGATTAAAATTGAAGAGCTACAGCAGACTCTGGCTAATGAGCAGGTGGCTAAGACTCAGTTGCAGAGTGACCTTTGCCTGCGACTGAGAGGGATGCAAGCCGACCAGGATGCTTACAGGAGGTATGGGGATGCTATGTTAGATATTGCTTCCCTTGCGTTTGTGTTGAGGCAACAATGCGATCTCATTTCATTCAAGTCATTCTATTGCTCCTAAATAGATTTTTTTAATAATAATTTTTTATTGATTTCATAAAGATTTTATATGTATATTTGTGATAACCCTTTTCACACTGACTTCTGCCTGTCACAAACTTTACTCGAAATTTACTTATTTTATCTTGTTTTGTCGTTTTCGGCAGTGAAAGAGATGCGGAGGAGCAGAAGGAGCGTAAGCAGATGGAGGTTGTGAGGCGAGATCTACATAGACAAGTGGCAGCACTGCAGGTGGAGCTGCAGACGCAACGCAGAGAACTTGCGGCCAATTACGCGGACGCAGCCCGAAAACGGGAGCATGAAGTCTCGCTAGAGCTGGACGAACTAAGTGCAACACTGCTCAGTTACCAATCGCAGGTGGGTTTTGTGTATCTCCCACATAGCAGTATTATGGTTGATAGATGTCCTAAAATTCTAATCGATCTGTTTCGTACCCACATCTGTCACCCCTAATTTAAAAAAAAACTATTCAAGACATTAAACCACTATCTACGATTAGCAGTCAACGAAAAAAGAGGCAATTCTACTATTCTAGGCATGTGGCCGTATATTTCTGCGTGAACATTTGTGAACGTGTGTATGTGTATTCGTTATTCGTAAGGTATACTAGCGACCGTGCAGAACGAGAAACTGGAACCATGAAACACGAGTGTATAGCATTTAACTCCTAATATGTTTGGCTACTTGCTAACTGTCCTGATGCAATGCCTGTCACAGGTGAAGATGCTGAGTAGAGAGCGAGATAGTGCAGCAGCGAGTAAGCAGGAGCTGGCTGAGCAGCTGGAGGCGGCAGAGGTGTCGTCAAGCACTCTGGAGCAGCAGCTCAGGAAGAAGCAGTGGGAAGCTGACGATCAGGCATCCACGAAGGATGCAACGTGAGACTAATACACTGGGCGCGCCTGTCTTCTATATGGTATCCGAACGAGTTGCCACGTTCTCTTCTTCGTGAGACATAGCGAGTTGATTACTCGTTGACATATCTCTTGCAAGTTGCATTTGATTACATTGCATTGTATTGGAAATAAAAGTTGCACATGGTAGAATTAATGGAGCTGCTGGGTTCTCTTCTATATGAAACTGTGCAAATTTATTGAGGGCACATGATAAATGCATTGTAAATTGTTACATCCATTGTTAACTAACTTCGTTAACATGTAGAATATGGCATAAGGCAGATGTGAGATGGCTTGTGTGACGATATGGGTAGAAGTAACTTATTACCAGTTACGTTGCGAGTGGTGAGAAATGTGTCTTTTGACATCGTTACATGAAAACACACTTACCGCATTATATTATCTAATTCATGAAGAGCTGTTTAGCTAATCAAAACTTGCCCTTTTTAATAATAAAATGTTGAAATTATGCAATATCATTATCTGATATTGGAAACAATTTTAATGATGTTACCTTCTTTTTAAGAGTATTGGAACTTCAGGGGCGGTTGGAACAAATGGAACACTCGATACAGCAAAAGGAAGACGAGCTTGTGGAAAAGTATGTTCAGTTAGTTATTTGCATCGCATACCAAATTTTGTTTCCTATGCATTTAATAGACAAGCACCTGACTTTATAAATTTGCTTTGTGTATTTGTTCATCACACAGACATAGAGATGTTGATGAGTTTGCAAAAGAGAAAGAACTTGCTGTAGTAAGAGCCAAGGAAGCTCACGCTGAAATAGAGCGAAATCTGCGTGACAATGAACGCCACCTACAGGAAGAACTCCACAATGCTCGGGCCGATCTCAGACGACTGGAACGGGAAAATGCAGACTTGAGGAAGGATAAGGAAACAGAAGTGGAAAGGTGAATTGAGAGAGCCTATAGAAACAGTCGATCCACCTTTTTTCTTGTACACACATAAGTTGTCATTTTGACATTTGTCGGTAGGATTAGATGCGTTTATACAATTTTCAAGATACAATCGACACAACATTTAGGTTGAATCAATATCTTATTTAACTAAATACAGTAGTTAAGAATGGCAGCGTAATGAGGCAACATATGTTATAGTCCACATTTCGCTGCATGAAGCTTTTACTGGGATTTTAAATTTTTTAAATTTTTGCTCTTTTTACTGTTACTACTTGTTTGAATTCAGTTGCACATACGTGTGTACATACGTCATTATATATATATATATATATATATATATATATACCTTCATGTCATTTATATATAGAGCATATTATGTAGACGTTGAAGATTGCGTGGGTTGCAGGCTGCGGGTGGAGGTGGCCCGCGTGACGACCGGCGGTCAGAACCAGCTTGCTGAGCTGTCGCGGTCGATCATCAGCAAGGACACTCAGCTGGCAGCCCTGAAGCAGGAGGCAGGCGTGCTCAGGTGCGAGCTCACGAAACGAAAGGATGACATCGAGAGGTACGTTGGCTTCACGTCGCACGAGCTGGGGCCTGCACGACACACACGCAGCAATACTAGATGCAGGGGTGGATAGATCTCACGAGGGATGGTGGGAGCAGGCGTTGGGGGCCCCCGCATGTTGTTTTTAGAGAATACAGTTAGAGTCTGATAGATTTTGACTATATATTTTCTTTTCATAGTATATCGTTCTATTTCAACCGGGACAAGGTTTTTGTCATATACAAGAAAAGAGGCTGAGCCTACAATCACGAAAGGAACTGCATGCCCTGAACCCCCTCCACTGTGGATTCCTCACTGTGTTATCATAACAGTTAGGCTCTCTCTCTCTCTCTCTCTCTCTCTCTCTCTCTCTCTCTCTCTCTCTCTCTCTCTCTCTCTCTCTCTCTCTCTCTCTCTCTCTCTCTCTCTCTCTCGCTCTCGCTCTCGCTCTCTCTCGGCTAATATTTGACATGAGTGAGGAAATTGTGTCACGTTCTAGGAGTGGAGTGACATGCCTCTCTGACACCTCTCGATACAGAGGATCGTTACCTGATATCGCTTGATTAGAGATCGCTGATTACCTGATGATGACAAGGACGACTTTTTCGCAGGTACAAGGCAGACTTGTCGGCCGCTGCGGAGCGAGAAGCGGAATTCGAACAGAGCAAGGAGAAGCTGACGCTGGACTGGCAGAAGAGATGCGAGACTGCAGAGAATAGACGATACGCCAGCTCCGAGAAACTAGTGCAGCGACTTAGCAAGGCTAGAGATGAGGTCATATCGTCAGCGGCTTAGCGGCGATTATCGTTATTATTGTTTTAAGTAAGATACGTCCAAATTCGATCGCTGCCCGTAAATGATGCAGCACTCGCATTTTTTGACGATTAATATAATTTTAAGTGATAATATTTTTCCAATTTGATACGCTGCTCTTGAATGATATAGTCCTCTCGTTTTTCTAACTCGATTCAAAGACGTGACAGTGGGCATTGTAATAGCAACATCGCCATAACTACCACTGTTAACACCACCATAACACCACCATAACACCATAACACCACCATAACCCCACTAACCTGTTAGTTGGGTTTATAGGGTTTATGTTCCCCAGGGTACTGCCGGAACGCACCCTGGGTACGGTCCGGTATACTGGAACGTACCCTGGTAACTATCTGATATGGTTAGGGTTAGGGAGTAGGCGTAGGCGTAGGTGACATATATGTACCTGAGGTAACTATCTGATATGGTTAGGGTTAGGGAGTAGGCGTAGGCAACTCCCTAGACTCGTTAGTGGAGTAGGTGAGGTACTGTCCGACATATTAGATAGTACCAGGGTACATTCCGGTATACCGGACAGTACCTAGAGTACGTTCCGGCAGTACCCTGGGGGACATAGACCCTCTCAGCGTTAGTTGGTTGTGTTGGTTGATTGACAGAGTAATTTAGGAAATGTCTCTGATGAAGAAGGACAAAAATAGAGAAAAAATAGGTGGTGCTATTGTAAGGCTGGTTTTCGTGCGTTACTCGTACACGTTGGTAAATGTTCGTAGACAGTGATGGTCGAAGCCGGTGTATATAATATAGACGGGTTTATTCGAATATCCCTGTAAGAACATACGCACGTACCTCCGTACTCGTGTGCCCCACCTATCCTCTCGAATATTCTTTTCTCGCCTTATTTATAGGTCGCGGCCTGGCATCTCATTATGTCGTGATGATCTGCACTATCCATTGCCCTATCAGGAGGTTTAGCTGGCCGTATTGATTGGTCCCTTATGCTGACCGGTGCAAACGTGCCTGGACATGTTTTGATGAGTCATCCTATTTCACCATCTCTGCACTGCGTTGCGTAATACTAATCATTTCTCGGCACCCCGCAATAACTTACAGTGTCACATTATAACAACTGTGCATTATTACATGCAGTGTCTGACTACTCTGAAAGAGCGGGAGAAGATACTGCAGCAGCTCAGAGTACACGTCAAGTTGTTGACGAGTGAACGCGATAGTGCGACGGCAACGCTCAAATATCACGGCATTCCACTGCTGAAAGATCACGCTGTAAATATCTGTCACATTAATCAACTATTGTATAACAATGTAAACGTATTAAGTACACTTTCCATTTACTAAATTTTTACCTTAAAAAATGTTGTGTATGTAATTAGAGAAATAACGTTTCACTATTAACTCTTCCCTTCTATTTGGCACTGATTTCATATGTACAAGGCAGATAGCACCCAAATTCTTACCTTTCCTCCAAACCTAACCATGCGCTGAACACCCAACCCCACCCCATCTCACTGTGGCTGTATGTGTCCAACAATAAAAAGTTTACAATGCCAACAGTAATTTATTAACATAAAAACTTACATATGTGTATAAATATACGCCTTAGCCAATTACTCCTCTGATGTCACGCAGGTGGAAGCGAGTGATACCGGGTGTGAAATGGCTTCGTCGGAAGCTGAGACACTGAGGCGGCAGAACGAAAATCTTCGTACGATCATCAAACAGATGCGGGTGGAGATGGAGAGTTTGCCCTTACCTGAGAAGCAAGTACCACAGGCTGCTGCGCTCAGCCACCAGGATATATCTACACCTACCAATAAGCGTCGGCTCTCAGATGGGAAGTCACCCGGTATGTATGTGACCTTTTTATATAAATTGCCTTTATATTGAAGGTGAAAGGAATCCGATCTAGACTTTGTGTAAATGCTTTTTTCTGCGTTATAACTTTCAGAAAACGAACGTTTGAAATGATCGACCAGAAGCTCCGGCTAAACACTATTGCGATAGGGCATTATAACATAAATGCTTAGTTGCTAGATCAATATTTTGGACCACAGTCTTGCTTGAACACTTCAGCAACAGTATCCAAGCGAGACATAGATATCTTGCTTAGATAGATCAGTCAATTCCTTCATCTAAAGCCCGGCGCACACGTGAGTTATTTTACTCAAGTAAAATGACACATGAGTCAAATTACTCAACGAAAATCCGCCGCACACGTGAGTAAAATGACGCATGCGTCAAATTACTCAACGAAAATTCGCCGCACACGTGAGTAAAATAACTCACGTGTGTGCGGGGCTTTAGGAATGAAAACTGTCATCACCATTAAAGCTCCATCTCCACAAATCTAGGATTACATCATGAACGTACATCTACTAGTACTCAGTATATATATATATACATATCTTCATGATCATACGCAGACAACAATGAGCGTACCTCTCGTGCAATTGGTTATGATTGACTACGTCACGAATTTTCTATGGTGTATATTTGAAAAAATTTGTTGCAATTTTTTTACGCTAAAAGTAAGTACTAACGGGACTAAATGTATCGTCAAATTCTTACCTGATAAGATTGTTTCTCAACTAGTTGTCAAAAAACCTGGACGATTTGATATGATCCTGACATTAATTGTTTGCTATGGGCTATGTATGAGTCACGAGCGTATGTTTACATCGAACGCGAACGATGTTGGCTTGTGGGTTTTGTAGAGGCAGTGGGCGGCGCGATGTCGCAGCGAGGAGCGCCGTCGCTGCAGGACAGGGTGAGTGAGCTCGAGCGCGAGATGCACAATCGCCCGTGCGTCGCGCCGGACCCTGCGGCAGACGCCGAGGCCGCGCTGAAGAACGTCGACAGCGCCATCATACACAGCCACGTGCAGCAACTCAACGACACGATCGGTGAGCAGATAAACCGCGTGAGCACGTGCAGAGAAATACGCACGGACACACTCACGCACGCGCACACATATATATGCACTCATGCACGTGCATCCACACGCATGCACATGCACGTGCATCCGCATGCACGCACACACATATATGCACGCATGCACGTGCACGTGCGTCCACACGCATGCACATGCACGTGCATCTGCATGCACGCACACGCACACGCTCATGTGGCAGTTGAAAATCATGTTCTACAATAGATAAGATAGAAGAACTAGGATAGAAGTAGCGTGACATAACTGGGAAGCTCAGCGCGGAGGCTCTTTTGCCATTATAACTGGCCATGCAGTTAGTCGATCTGTGTCTGGTTCTTCAGGCAAGCTGAGAGGTGAGAAGGTGCATCAGACGGCACAGCTGAGGAAGCAGCAAGTTCGCATTGCCCACCTGGAGTCGCAGGTTCAGCAGCTGGAGCATCTCGTAAGTCATTCACCTCACGTCAACGCGCGTGGCCAGGGGACTACAAACCATATTTGCTAGAGCTGTGTCGCGTCCTGTGTCCCGTGAAGATTTGAAAGGGGAGGGATGCGTCGGGTAGTATTG